GTGTGACCCGCAGGTTTCGCGGGTTGCACCTTCAAAGGCTGTGGTTAACTCTCTGGCCCGTGAAAAAAATTAAAACTATTTGAAAAAAAGGAGGGAGAGAGTAAGATAAAATTATTGATGATGTTGCTGAAGATTTCAAAAATCTTGCAGTTCCTGAAGATTGATTGGAAAACAAACATTAAAATATATAATTTTTGAACAACTAAATTATAGTTAAGACTTAAATAGGTGCCAACCTAATTGGGATATACTTATACTATAAATATTTGATAATAGTAATTAGAAATGCATTTAGTTGTTATTTGTTTAAATTAAATTTAACTTTGCAAAGTTATAAATAATTCATGTAACATTAAATTTGAATTTTATGTAAACATTTCTTGATATAAATATGAATTTATCATTTTATTCAATTCTTAGTTTACATTTAACAAAAAAAATATTTTTTTCCTATAAACATGAAAAATTCTATATTTTTATAATTTTATTTATACAATAATATGGGTCAAATCGTAACAAACCGCAACTCGCGCGACCCGTGACCCGCATGGGTTCGACCCAGATGGGTCAGCCAACGGGCCTGGATTGTAGTCCAAAATTTGAGGGTCGACCCGGAACCCGTAGCGGGTGACGCAGGCCGTTATCGAGCTCATATGTTGGTTGGCGTACCCGAGCCGGACCACCCGGATGAACACCTCTACTTTCAACAATAAACCTATTATCTTTTTTTTCTTTTTTCTTTTTTTCACATAATGAAATATATACATATGAATAGTTGATGTATATTGAAATTGTGCGAGTTAATGAAAATAAAATAATTATTTTCATGATAAGATACAAATCTCGACTACCGTATAAAAGAATATAAGAAACATAGAGGAATTGTTGCATAAAAGACAAGTTCGATTAGACAACTCCTAGACATGTTTGAAGAAGAAAAGATATTTAATAGCTATCGATCATCTATTATATGTTTATATTGTGGATGCAAGTCACAAGAGGACCGTCGGTTTTCCACATCGTTACTTCTTTATGAAATTAACTTATTACTATTTGAGTTGATTAAATAATTTCCGTTAAATGAAAACTTATTTACTTTTTAATCCCATTTTAATATTGAAATAGTATAGTAATTAAGGGTGATTATAAACATTGAAGAAAATTGTACTATTGGCCTGCCAACCCATCTCCTTCGTAACAAAATGATCATTAACCTTCGTTGCAATTCCATAATTAGTTTTAAAGGACCAAAAAAATTATTTCCTAGGGATTGACACAATTCAATTCGGTTGGATTCTTAATCAAGAATTAAGCCAAATGTATAGGGTACAGAACTCCTACACTCTTTCACATGAGGTGGGTTCAATAAAAAATTTAAAAAAATTTACCCAGCCCCCCCACCCGGGGTGTGAACCCCTACACTCTCTCAAATGAGGTGGGTCCAACAAAAAAAATTTCCCTCCCCCTCGCCCATGTGTGCGGTGGGTACGTGAAACATGATTGCTTAATCAAAGTGATCAATTTGCAATAATAGAATTGAACCAAACAATCAATGATTAGAATTGGTTTGATTTTAGTCCAATTCTTTCGTGCTTAAAAAATAAATAATGAAATTGACTTTGTGAAATTCTGATTCCAATGCCATGCCCTCGGTATCACATTGGTATTGAATAGTATGATTATGTATTGATATATTTAGATTTATGTATTTCGACTTTATTTTTTTTTTTGGGGGGATTACATTGAGGGCGAGGATAGAGGAGAATGAGATCGAACTTGTGTCCTAGACCTGATGGTCATGAATTATCGAGAGATTATAAGAAGAAATATTGGATTTGAACTGAAATTTAGTTATCAGCTTCAATTGTGTACTCGACTAAAGTCGTTTTATTCTTGGTATTAACTAATAACAATTAGAATCAGTTAAATTTTTACTTGAATTAACCTGAATTATTCAATTCAGTCAAATTTTAATCTAAATCATGTGATTCCAAGGAAACGTCCACCTTTACTATTCTATGTTAAATCATCTCGTGACACCAACCTTTTGAATCTAAATTTTACTTTCAAATTGGAACTAGTGTACAAATATTTGAAGTGAAACATTTTTATATTAACCTTGTGTTTCGTTCAGATAAAAATTAGAATTTTAATAAAATGGTACTTACAAAAATACCCTTAAAATTAGAGATGTTTTGAAAAATNTTCTTAAAATAATCACCACGTCCAGGTCAATCCACATATTGATTATGTTAGGAAAATATAACATATTATTTCACTTTTTTATCTTCTTAAAAAGTGACAAAAGCTTTAAAAAATTGACAATTTTAAAAAGTGACACAATGTCACTTTTATAAAATTGACAGCAACGTTGACATCCCTAAATGGTAATGAATAAAATTAAATAAGTGATAGTACACAATCTCACTTTTATAAAAAAAAAATGATTTTGTTATTTAAAAAAGTGATAAAAAACCAAAAAAGTAATATTCAATAGTGGCAAACACTATAAAAAGTGACCGAAACTCAAAAAAAAAGTGACGGAACTTAGAAAAAAACAGTAACTAGTTAGCAATCAAGAATAGGATGCGGAAAATAGAAAATAAATATTTCCCCATTTAGATGACATTAATTGTACGGAAAATGAAAAACAAGTTGTAAAGTATCAGAACGCAAATATAATTCATAATCAAAAAAAATCCAACAAAGTATCAATAGTTCTACAGGTGAATTTTCTATCCAAGATTACAAGTACTATATAACTCCAAAGCTAAGGAAAAGTAAGGACCAGCATACTATAAAACTTTACATTAAAAATGCAGAAAATGACGTTTCTATATAAGCTGAAACATCCTACTCATCCATAGAAACTGTTTACCTTCCCTAGAAACATTCTATTATAACCTAGAGGTGGTGGTGGATTTTTTCACGATAATCATTCACAACCTTCTCCCAATTCCATTTCTAAGTTATAATAGAAAACAAAAGCATAAAAGGTTCTTCCTATTCTGGATTGAATTTCAGGGAAACCGTTGGCTGCATTTCCTTCTTCGTTTGCTTGTCTTACTCTGGTCTTCCTCTTTCCTTTCTTCCCCACTTCAATTGGCCTCATTGCTTCTCCTCATAACAAGTCAACATGGTTGAATGACCATTAGTTACTCATATATGATATAGCAATCCTAAATAAGCAATAAGCAGAAAATTGGGACTGCAAGTAGGGACTCAAATAGGGACGACGGGACATATGGAGGAACGTAGGCTTGAATATGCTTCCCCCTAAATTGTCATTCAATTCATGCAAATGAAGAGATGCAATGACATGTGAGTGTTTACGTGTGTATATTCTATGTATCATACAAAAATCATGGTATGTTAACACAAAAATGCATTTGGAACAATTAATCGAATACTTGATATGCACAGTTATTGAAATGAGTAAAATTTTCTCACGATTCTATGTTAAATCCAAATATTCCACAACAAATCCACAAAACCAACATCAAATACGCCCATACTCCCAACAAAACTCGAAAAATTTTAACCATGAGCAAGAATTCAAGACAAAGAAGAAAAATTTCGAAACCCATAAAGTTGAGCCAATTTACCTTTGATTTCTTGAAATTTTTATGGATGAAAGTGTGAATTCGTTGATGAATGATGTTGGAATATAATTAATTTTCAAAGCCTGTCGAAATTTGGAGAAAAATTGGATGATGTTGATGAAAAATTTGAAAAAATCGTGAGCGAAGCCGGGTCTTGTGTGTGTGTGTGTGTGTAATTGAATGGGTGGATTTTGGGACGTATAAATTACGGTGATTAGAGGTTTAAATCTACGTTAAGTGCATTAATCTAATTGGTTTCTTTTTTAGAGATGTGAGCCTAATTTTCCCTTTAATAAATTTTGATAAAAATTGATTAAACCCATGTTTGGTGAGGGATTAAAATATTTTTTAAGTAAATTTTAATTAAAAAAAAATGACAAACTGTAGTTAAAAAATTGTGTGTCCTATGAAATATGTGGTTAAAATTAATTGGTGAGTTTTATTTAAATTTTAAACAATACTAAACTGGGGCTAAACGTATTGTTGAAAAATTGTGGGTCTCACAATATATGTTGTTAAAATTAATAATTGATTTTGACTTAAATTTTAATATAATTTTTTACCTGAACCAAACGGGGCATATGTTATTTGACAAATTGTTAGGAATTGTGAAACTAAATAAAAGATTAAGAAATTAAAATAATACTACTTATATATAATGGAATTACATAATGGTGTACATACATATATGGTGTTAAAAAGAAAGAATTTTTTTTTATTTGGTTGAAGAAATTTTTACATAATTATATCTCAACATCTCATGTGTATACAAACCATTATGTACACGTACCATAATTGAAGAAATAGTTTTCCGAGGTTATATACTAATTTAAGTCCAAGACAATAAATTGAGGACCAAACAGTACAATATTCCTTAAATATTCAAATTTAGGATGCTTGGTTTTTCCGATTGCTCCAACAAAATAACACATTAAACAAAAAGCAAAAATCCACTCCCAGAAGGGCCAAAACTCTCTCTATCTTCCTCCTCTGTGTTGGCTCTCTGCTTGTTTCTTCACCATTCCAAGAGCGAGACGAGACAAAAAAACCAGGAGACAGAGAGAGAGAGAGAGAGAATGTGACTGACGTTTGCGCCTCCCAAAAATTTCAACCCACCCGCCCGCCGATTCTTTTCTCCGTCTCCATTTCATTGTGTTTATGGATTGATTCTTTTTTCTTTTTTTTCCTACCCTTCTCTCTGATGGAATCCCATTAGAGAGTAGAAGGAAAGGTCCTGTCTGTTATTGGGATTGGGATTTTTCAGTGAAAATCTCGCAATTCACTCTGTTGGACCTAAGAGGAACCCTAGCGTTCGTAATCTCTTCGATTTCCTCGAACTGTTTCGATTTCAAATTGAGGAGAAGAAAGCATAATCAGAGATTCTTATACGGAGGAAAAATGCCGGGGATTCCGAGATTGTCTGGGTTTTTCTCTGCAGCGATGATGATGATTGCACTTTCCCCATTTCGTCAGTTATTCACTCCGGCGGAAGCGATTAAATCCTCTCAAACCGATTTTTATCCGCGATTAAGCGCTCCGACAGAATCCTCAGACTCTCTGAACAGATTCTCTTTCAGAAAAGCAGATGTATTCCACAATGCCGTCGAATGCCGCTCATTAAAATTGGGGAAATCCGGTTCGTGCGATCCCTCTCTTGTCCATGTCGCCATTACTCTTGATATTGACTATTTACGCGGTTCGATAGCTGCCGTTCATTCGATTCTTCAGCATTCCAAGTGCCCACAGAGTGTGTTCTTCCACTTCCTAGTTTCTGAACCCGGACTCGAAACCCTAGTCCGATCCACTTTCCCAGAATTGAAGTTTAAAGTCTATTTCTTCGATCCGGAACGGGTCCGGAGCCTGATCTCAACTTCAGTACGGCAAGCTCTTGAACAACCGCTGAATTATGCTAGAAATTACTTGGGAGATCTTTTGGAGCCATGCGTCAGAAGGGTGATTTACTTGGATACGGATCTGGTACTGGTTGATGATATTTGGAAGCTTTGGAATACAAGCTTGGGGAAGAAGACCATTGGAGCACCCGAATATTGTCACGCAAATTTCACCAAATACTTCACTGAGTACTTCTGGTCGGACCAGCAATTTCCCGGCGTATTTTCCGGCAGAAACCCTTGCTATTTCAACACCGGAGTGATGGTGATAGATCTGGTCAAATGGCGGCGGTTAGGGTACACGCGGCGAATTGAGCGGTGGATGGAGATACAGAAGACTAGTCCTAGCAAGATCTACGAGCTCGGCTCTCTGCCGCCGTTTCTCCTGGTGTTCGCTGGACATGTCGCGCCGATCGAACACCAGTGGAATCAGCACGGCTTAGGCGGCGATAATGTGAAGGGAAGCTGCCGGGACATCCACCCCGGTCCGGTTAGTCTCCTCCACTGGAGCGGCAGCGGCAAGCCGTGGCTTCGGCTCGACTCCAAGCAGCCGTGTCCAATCGACTCATTGTGGGCCCCTTATGATTTGTACGGAAATCTGTAAACGCAGCTCCGATAACTGTCCGCCGGTAAATCCACTTTTTTCCTGCATTTTCACTTTTTTAATCAATTATTTGATTATATATATAGAATTAAAAGTGATAATTTCAGGCGAATTTGTATTTTATTCGATAATTCGGTTTGTCCTGGAAAATAAAAAGTTATAAAGGATATATAATTCTTTATTGAAATGCGTTTTTATCTGGCAAAGTGCAGTCTGTTTTGTCTTTCATAAGAACATTATAGAAAAAACGCACGACCGACAATATAGTAAATGTTAATCCTCTGGGTAATTTAGAGTGGGGACCAATTCAAATAAGCAATTTAAAGGTTGCTTCCTTGAAAATTACTTTTGAAATGTCAAGTATTTTTAAAAATTAGGCCCCCGTTTGACACTCATTTTTTATCTCATTCTCATTCTCATTTTTCTACAGTACTCATTTCTAACCACACATTCTTCAAATAAAATAATATTACACATAAACCCAAAAATTCTTCTTACGTTTTAACCACACATTCTTTATATCAATCANTTTAACCACACATTCTTTACATCAATCACTATTCAAAAACTCATTCTTCAAAAGAATGGGTGCCAAACATCCACTAGGTTTCAAGAAAAATTAAGATAACTTCATTCAAAAACTCTTTTACAGAAATCAAAAGTCATGCCAAATGGATCCTAATTCAAACCCTTGTTTGATGGTCGTTATTTTGAAAAAAATGATATTTTTGATGGTGAGTTTTTTGGAGAATGCGTGATTAAAAGACGTGGAAAAATTTTAAGTTTATGTGTAAAATATTTTATTATGTCAAAGAGTTTTGTTTTAAAGGAGACAAACGTGGGCTCACTTACTACGAAGATAAACAACTGAAAATTGCACCCAAAGTTCCTAATCTATGAGTTATAACAAGTTGGGCATTCAAGTTAGTTTTTGTTGAACTTATTCGTGTCTTGCTTTTTGAAGGATAATAAAGGTAATCACTTAAAAGATTGGGAACGACTCTAAAAGTTTAAGTTGGAGATCAATTTGGTACAATTTGAACGGGTTGGGACGCTCGAGCTTTAGTTTCTTTAAACCTTTCAAATGTATAATATGTTAGTCTCGACTTTTCAATGAACTTGCACATCTTAGTTTTTGACGGGTCAAATAGATGATTAGTTGAGAGATTGGGACAACTTGAAAAGCTGAGATGAATCCACTTCTGATGATTTGTATGGATTTGGGGCCTTAGCTTTAGTTTTTGGGTAGAGTTGATTTTGACCTTTCGAGTTTGCTATTAGTTAATCTTCAGTTGATTTGCACACACATCTCACCTCTTTGAAGGATGAAAAAGTTGATAACTTAAAAGGTCGAGAATAACCGAAAGATTTTAAATTGGATGGATTTGTTGCGATCACACGCGTTGAGAACCAATCCCATCTTTAGTTTTTAGCAAGGGTTGTTTGTAATCTTGTAAGTTTGTAACAATTAGATTTGGGTGAATTTGCACACGTTTCTCTTTTTAAGGTTAAAATAGACAATCACCTAGAAATTTGAATCAAAAAACTTGAATTGGGGATCAGTTTATGAGAAATTCCTAGTTTGTGACCTCCAAGGCAATTTACCCAATAATGTTACTTTAGATTCTATTTTCTTATGTACTCTGTATTATTAAAAAAATTTCTCCCTCTTTATATTTTCTATATGATTGTGAGCGGAATATGTGACACAGCTCGACAGCATCGACTTAGTTGGTGGGTCCATCAAGATTATGATTGTGGAATTTTATATTTCTTGATTTAATGTAGAAAATTCTTGGGCAAATGGTGGCAGAGCACATGTTCTTGACAGGATGGTGCTCAACTTCTAGCATTTTTGGTATAACGGGACAATAAGATTAAAGAATAGAGACGTAATTACTTAAATCGTGTCTCATATTGTTGACGATATTGCTCGACTAGTAAAATTATACCTAATTGGTATTGGGAGTAGATTCTATCGTCGTGAATGTCAGTTCTTAACGTTTACAATCTTTACAAGTCAGTTTTAAGATGGAAGTTTTCTCAATGTCACACTGATAAATATCGGTAAAATACTTGTTTCTTGTATTGTTCAGTCGAGTATGCAAATCAAACACGTGTTTTTGCGTTGATTATTAAGATGATGTGAGCTTATGTAAGAAAGAAGACACTTGTTGGATGGATGGATTGGACTGCTGACACGGCTTAATTTCATTGTCCAATGTGAATTAAAAGAAATAAATTTGGGTATATTGTGAATTGCTACGTGTTCGTTTCTATTTTGTCCTTTTCGCACGTTTAAGATTTTGATAAAACTTATGAGATGTGGTGCCGGCTGGTGGAAGAATTGTGATGTGGAAATGCCGGCAGGAGGCGGCCACCTCGGTGGCTGGCGGCGGACGTCTCGTGATCTAGCTAACCAACACGATTAACTTACTTTTGAACGTATTTCAATAATTTTTACGAAAGTACTTTTCACCTTCAAGAAACTATTCTACGAGAGACGGAAGCATGCCAAATGAGCTCTAATTAATTTGTAAATAAGTTTATGATCGTTATCAGAAATTAAATATGATTTTATTGAATTATTGTGTCGTGTTATACTTATCATAAGCTAAGCAATGATATTTCTTTCCTAACCTAAATACGTTTGAATATTGAATAGGGTTTAGCTGATTATAAATTTTTTGATTTGTTCAATAATGTTAAAGTCAACATATCAAATGTACATCTCTCAAGTAATTGGAATTAAAATAGAGTTGAAAACATTGTGGATTCTGATTTCTAGCAAAGTTTAAGTTGATCGATGAACTTGATGTTGTCAATGTTAGACATTATTGCGATCGAGTAATTTTACTTGGAAGTTTGCTATAATTTGATCATGCTCTTCGTATCTATACGTTTGATAAGAAAAGCTGGTCTAACATTGTTGTTGGCCATCTCACTTGGTAAAATAACTCGATTGTTCATTGGAATTAATAATATTGAAATGCATCAATGAAGATGAATGTTAATTAAGTATTTTGAAGGTTAATTAATTTAAAATTATAATGAATATAATTAATTGTTCAATCAAGTGAACCAAAATTTTCAAATATACATAAATGATTATTAAATAGTTGAGACAATCATTGATGAGGCGTGTTCGGCAGAGATTAAGATTGAAAAACTAGTCGTTATTGTTGACTTTTATTAGACAAGTGGGACCCAATAACGACTATATTTTCAATTTTAATTAGATTTTAAGTACGATCGAACACGTCCATGATAATGTTCAAATGTGCCGAAAAATTAAAATCAAGGAAATGTTAAAATAGTTTTAGATATAGTACGGACACAATCGTCCGAAAAATAAATATCACTTCACATAACATTAGATTTAAAAATTATAGATTTCCCCAATGAAAGTGCAGTTTTTCAAGGTGTATTTCTAGTTTCAACAGTACTAATCTCCTGTCCTTAAGTAAAGTGTTAGATGTCTTACCCATCAGTAAAGTGTTAGATGTGATCTTGTCACCTCACAGATTAAGTGTAGAATATCGGTGGAGTTTCAAGATCACATCTCATCCACTCACCCGTGAGGTGTCGATATGGTCTTGTCAACTCACCGATGAGATCTAAACATTGGTGAAGTGTTAAGATCACATTTTGCCACTTTATCGGTGGACATAATATCTCATGTTCACTATAGAAATGAAATCGGACTTCATAGTTTCATACTCCTGTAAAACTTAAAAGTGGAAAAATTTCATGACAAACATATTGGTGGAAGCCAGGCTGGCGATTGCGGAGTGAGGTGTACGGTACGGAGTTTTGGGATTTTTGATGGGTACACACTACGGATTATGCTACTTATACACAAAAATAATATATAAGGAATTACATAAAATAATTTGGAAGGAAAAGATTTGATAAAAAAGTTGATAAATAATAAAGTATCACAGGACATTATGTAATTCCTTATGTAAACATTTACTGCATGTAGACACGCTTTACCCTGCTATAGCCATTAATATGCTATTGCTGCGTTAAATCCAAGCACTCGTACAAATACTGAATAATAATTACTCTTTTAATCGTGCAGTTTCTACAAATTAGACATCATGAGATTGGTTGATAATTGAAAAAAAGAGCGAAACCTGGTTGAAGAGGTTGAAATACGAGCTTTGGTAACATTTTGTTTAATGTTTTGCGGAGTATTGATAACATGTTCGTAGAAAAAGTAGTAGTAAGGATTAAACTGAGAGTTCATACTTCTATGACTATCATGATTATCGTTTGAAGAATTATTAACTTTTCATTCCCATCTAAGATTTGAAAAAGCTCGATCAGGGTAATACATCTCAACACATGAAGTTTAGAAATCTTTTACAAGTTTCAAGCACCAAGGATTTCAAGCTCAACTCTTTCTCGAATCAGAGTCCTTACAGCACTAACAAATTGTCACATTGTTGCAAGACGTATCCTAGCATCACTTGTTGTCAAGTCAATTTTTATAAGATGTAAGATTATTGTTCCAAATGAATCTTTATATTCACATATTGGTGCTAACGGGATATAAAACATCTCAAACCTTTGAAATAGTAATTACATTAGTTGGTGGATGGTGTCTAATACTAAAAAGGGATGAACCGTATCCTTAGCGGCCCCCACCTGCCCTGCCCTGAGCCTTAGTGAAGGAGGTAAATCGCAGGTTATGTCTCCAAGGGTATAGGGTGGAAGGCTGCTTGTACACTTGCACTTACCCAAAAGCCAAATCCATATTTCAGGATTCGAACTCTTGACGCGACAGCCTCAAGTAAAGCTGGAGTTCTTCCACATTCCCCTTTTACCACTTGGAGATGTGCCCTGGGGGCAGATGGTGTCTAATACTAGTTATAACCCAAGTTGGTTTACTTGGTAAATGAATTGCCTCATCTTTCACCTTTCTCATCATGTACAAAGAATGAATTATAGTAATTTAAGACAAGAAACCTAATTTAACCTAGTTACTTCATTAT